TATTAAAGTTTCTATCTAAACCCTTTGTGTTATGAAATTACATGCTCATAATGATTATCTCGATCGTTTCTTTCTTTCCATTTTCGATTATTTATGTTTATTTTAGCCTTCCTTCAAAATTCTTTCTTATACTAGCTAATTATTATTCAACCAAAAATGTAAAGTTTTGAATCTTATTAAGTACTGAACGTCATATCGTTTATAAAGTTATAAATTTATTTTTATTATAAATGTAGTTATAAATTTCATACCTAAAGTTTAAAAGTATTTTAGTTTCCTTCTAAAATCTTTAATTTTAATTTCGCATGCTCATAATAATTATCTTTTCTGTTTTTTTTTCTTTCTACTTAAGTCTATTTATTTCTTTTTGTTGAATTCTATTCTGTTTTCTTAGATTCTAAAATTCTCTACTTATTATTGATTTGCTAAAAATCTGAAGTTTTAAATTTTATCAAAAGTTTAAAGTTAAGTCCTTCAAAATTTCATCATAATTTTCCTATACTGAATATTATTTAAAAGTATTTTCTCACAGGCTTTACTTTCTCAGAAAAAATGCAGTAAATGCCGATGCTACTGTATTACTTTTCAACCTCTGTGAGGAGTGCATCAAACAATGTCAGAAAAACTACAAAAACATCGACTTCTTTCAACAAAACGATTTTTTCTGGTCAGCAAAGCATGGAAAATTGTACAAAACCCCATGCATTTGCAGATACAAAAGATTTTTAAATAAATTATATTAGAACTGGACGTGTGAACACGCCTTCTCCGATCTCAATTCAGTTAGTCAAAAGGTTGAGAAGAACATGAAATGTATCTTGCTTTATTTTAAACTTCCTTGCAAGAAAGCATTCCACGCCCCACAGGTGTGTTAAAATCCGTGCAACCCCAAAACGCCCGAGGACTCGAGACCCCCATCTTCAAGATAAACACGTTAATCGTCGAGTAGCCAAAAAGCTCTTGAATAGTTTTCACCATTTAGTTCTTTTGTAGGAAATCTTCTGATGGTAACTGATCGAGGACGCCATGAATGACAAATCTCTAGGTACTGTCAGCAGGGGGTGTGAAAGGGTTCGACTGTTAAAGAAAAGAAAACTGGAACTTGAAAGCCAAATTTTGTATATTCCCTCAGACAGTTTTGGCAGCTTTCACACAGCGCATATATCATAAGGCGAAATTGGCTGACAAAAAACGTTTAAAAATTCCACCAAGTGTAAAAAATAGTATTTGGAAATTGAAGTAAGTTGCTTCAAGTAAACTTTTTGAAAACGATAGCATCTTTATTCTGTTTAGAAGGTTATTCACAACGTGGGACGTTTTCACGAATTCCGTAAAATTGTAAGCCTTTCCGTGTATCAATATTAAAATAAATCGAATTTGTCATTTTTTACAATTTCATTGTGTCTTTGAAGGTCTAAAAATATACTTTGTAAATAAAGAATATTATCCTTTTTTTAGATATAAATATTCCTTATTTACAAAGCGATATCTTTCAAAAAAGTACGACATTTCCTGTAAATTGAAGCACTTTTTAATGAGAATTCTTTTAAACACTGCGAAAAAAGCTTTTTTTTTCTAATCAAACATTTGAGGATATTCAAAAACAATATTTTTTACTCTATAATTTATTTTTATTTAATATTATATTTTTGCTATTTTATTAAATATATAATAAAGCTAACATAATCACCTTACTGGTTAGAATATATAGGCCTAAACAGGCTTTAATTCTTTTTGGTGTATGTTCCCCCATTGATTTAGTCTTCCAGTATGAAAAAGTTAAAAATAAATAACTGAAATAGGAATTTTTTTTCTTTTGTTTTCCTCTTATATACACTATACCCTACAATAATGGAAAATACCCTTTCAGTTTTTGACATTTTTAAAATTTCTCAAGAAATACTTAAAGGATAATTTTGTTACTTCAGAAATGTTTAGTTCATGCGATTTTTCATACTTAGCAATAAAATTTAAAGCTTTCAGAGGTTAGAGAGACCTACAATAAATTACGAAAGAAAATAAGTATTTTTGAACACCCTATTCTAGAAAATCAAGCAATAAGCTTGTAACTTGTATCGATTACTTAAGTTGTTATTTTCAATAGCCGCATAAAGTTTCGTAAATCTAGAGTCCATATTCATAGAAATATGGACATTTTTATAGAAAGTAAATTTTTTCGCTTTGCTTTTTTTCATTATAACTTTATAGATATGCAATGGAATTAAACAACATTTTTAGGGCAATTTAAGATTAATTACAAAATTGTAGATCTTTTAAATTTAAAAAAACAAAGAAATCGTTAAAAACTGCGCAAGTTCTGAGTATTTAAGCTAGTTCATTAAAAATGCGCATGCATTAACAAAAATTAAAAAAAAAAATTTTTTTTCTTCATAACTTTGCAGTGAATTATATTTGGCAACTAATAAAAAAATTGATTTGAATATCATAAAAAAGTTTCAAGCAATTTTCTAAGTAGTATTTGTATTTTTCAAAAGAAAGCTCAAGGAACGATCATGGGTTTTTCAGAAATTTTATTTTGTATCATACAACAAAATTTAATAACAAATTATAATAATTTACATTAATCACCTGGAAACTAGACTTTAATGGTATACAGAGAAAGAAAACATGCAGGAGAAAACATACTTTTTTGGGGGTTGATCCCCCACAAAGTCGGTCTCATTTTTAGTAAATCTTATTTAATAGTACAGGACGGTATTTGTAGATAACCCCTTATCGTTTTGAGCTTTTTTTTTTCTTCATTTTTTGAGGTACAAAAACTACTTCGAAAATTGCTTGAAACTTTTCAAATTTTCAAGATTAATAAAGTTTTTACCATTAATAAAGTTTCAACCATTAGTTGCCAAATACGATTCCCTACAAAATTATATAAAAACATTTTTAAATTTCTTCTGCGCATGCACAGTATAAAAGAACTAGCTTATAATAAGCTCATATCTTGCTCAGTTTTTAACGAATTTCTTTAAAATTTTAAATCAACAATTTTGTAATTAATCGTAAATTTCTCCAAAAATTTTGTTTAATTCCATTGAATATTTATGAAGTTATATTAAAAAAAAAGCAAGGCAAAAAAATATAATTTTTTATAAAAATTTCCATAAAAATTTACTCTAGATTCATGAAACTTTTTTAAAAATAACAATTAAAGTAATAGATACAAGTTTCAAGCTTCTTGCTTGATTTTCTGGCATAGGGTGGTCGAAAATACTTTTTTATTTTGTAATTTATTGTAGGTTTTCCAAACCTCTGAAGCTTTAAATCTTATTGAAAAATCTCATGAGCTAAACACCTCTAAAAATACAAAATAATCCCTTCAGAATTTCTTGAGAAATTCAAAACAATGTAAAAAAAGTGTCTTTTCCATTTTAGGGTAGTTTGCATATATATATAACACGACAACAACAAACAAGAGTGATAACATAATTTCTATTTGGTGATAAGTCGTATAAAAAGATAACTTACATTGGATGCTAATGTGAAACATTTAGACCAACAGAAGTTTAAATCGAAAAACGAAAACTGCTTTCAATCACGTAAAATTAAAATTTATTTCATGTTAAGAACCATATTTGGGCAATCTGTAAAAAAAAAATTATAATTATTTGCCTTTAAAATGTATTAAGCAAAATCGTGTTCAAGAAATTTCATTTGTAAAAAAAAATGTGTTCTTTTTGTTGTGTTTCTTTTTTAAAAATCCGATTTATATAACTCAATATTGTACATTTTTTTTAAAGCATAAGCTACTCTTATGGCTGAGTAAGATGGGGTGATTTTGCATTGACGTACAATTTGCATGAAATAGGTTTTTCCTAACTATATATGTATTTTTTTAAAACAGCGTTTTTTCAATCATCAGAGTTAGAAACTTTAAACGAAATTTACGAATTTATCCAGCTTGTTAGCAAAAGTTTTCAAAGTGAGAAAGTGCTACGTTATTGGCCTTATTAGTTTTATGACATTTTAAGGAACTTTTTTTAAGTCTAGCTCGAAATATTTAAATGATTATAAATAACTAATATAATAATGTAATTTTACTTAATATGAAAAACAATTATAAATCCAAGTGAAAAAAAAAGACTAATCTTCGTGTTACTTATGTATAAAGCTAAACACCGTAAAAACAGAAAAAATGATGTTACATAAACATACTTTAGTTAAGATTTTAAAAGAACAGATTGGTTCTTAAGGTTTCGGCTCCTTTTAGAACCGAAAGTATGTCTGTTTTTCGTGCTCTTTTTATGCTGTTTAGCTTTATACACATTAATGGATATTTCATTAAAAAAATAATAATAATAATTCCTTATTAAAAAATGTACTAAATTAAACAAAAATAAATAAATAAAAGACATTTCTGAATAAAATAATGTATGTGTTGTACGTTATCAAATTTGTAACTTAGATGCTTCTTTTTTTCTCCTCTTTTTCAGCACTTTTTATTTTAACGATTGTATATTTTGAATTATTGAATATTCAATACCTTAGAATTACGGTTATCTAGTCACTACTAAATAATTAAAATTAAACTTATGTAAAATGTATTTAAAAGCATTAATTTTTTTAGCTGAATTTTTGAGTGAATCTTATTAACTCTCTCTCTATTTTATTAACATCAAAGTTCGACTTAAAGTTTAGTTATTTTACAAATTTACTAATTTTCCCAAATAATCAATTATCAGATTTGAATAAAAAAAAAACAATAAGTTAAGAAAAAGATATAAAATAAGTTTTGGAAAAACATCAATCACAACAAATTTTTTTTAAAAAAATCATCGTATTCAAAGTCCTCTGAAGAGCAACGACTTATAAATTAGTTCAAGGTTTTCACGACCATATGCTTATAATTAAAGCCTCTTTTTTTATTTTATGCTCCTCATGCTGGAAAAGGAACAAACAGGTAAATTATCTTGGCGCCTGTCTTGGCGTCTGAGAAGAAAAGGGGCGTTTTCGGCAACCCTGGGGAAAATCTTTCTTTTATATCAACAGGGTGAGGGAAGGAAACCTTGAGGAAACAAATGAAAGAAATCTCCGAGCGGACGAAGATGACATCTGGGAGTGCTGGAAAGATGTGGAATTTTTAAGGATGCCCGATCTTCATTTCTGCATGGCCGGTCCACTTTTTTTCTTGATCTGGTGGCTCGCGATCTTCATAACTTCCGTTGTAGCAGCTGGAGCTAATTCCATACCAGAGCACGGCGAAGATTGTGAAATTGCACAAACTAAATGTTCCTACAGAGCGAATTGCTACCATGCTTTGCATAGCTACATGGTGGATTGCGCGGATGTCCTTGCCGGTCGCACAACTCGATGTACTTATGCCTGCAAGCGAGCTCTCATCTCTCTGACGAGTTCTGAAGCTGGACAAACACTCGCCAATTGCTATTGCGGCAGCAATGAGTTCTGTCTTCGTAGCAAAGAAAGAATCGAAGTGTGCCGACCGGAAGTTAGCCACGCGACAGCTGATAATACTGTTGTATCCTGTTCTGTAGCTAAATGGATTTGCGCTGCTGATCCGCTGTGCTCTACAGCTCTTGACTACTACCACAGACTCTGCAGATCTATGTTCCACGGACGCAAATGCACTCCTCGCTGCAACAACAGCCTCGCTATATTAGACAGGCAGGAGAAAGCCGGGAAATTGAGAGATTGCTATTGCGATGGTAGTGAAGAATTTCCCTGTGTCAGTATCAAGCAGAACACTCAATTGCTGTGTTACGGACAAGAATGGGTCAATAACGAACTACATAATCCTGTTACAACGGAAGAGACATTGCCTAGTTGCAGCAACAGGTTATCTTCCTCTATTCTTGGTTACTGTTTTCTGGTGTTTATGGTGTTCATGCTGAACCATAGGACTAGTGGTGAAGAGCTAAACACAAGTTCTTCCCTAGAAAATAGCGTGCCCCTCTCTCAAGCAACGTCCTGCTCAATAACAAAGTTAAAACGAACTTTTGATTGTGACAAACAGTGGCCATGGTGGTGGACATCAGAGCAACGTGTTACTTGAGGTAGGAAAATTATCTCTTTTTCTTGTGAATTATTTAATGTTAAATTTTTCTAAATTCTGATGTAGTATTTGTTTAAAAAAATAAGGCTAATACTACACTTTAAAAATTTCCGGAACAATTTCCGGTAAAAAATACTGGCACGTTAGGTGCATCATATGTAAAAGGCATTTTACCGTAAAATCCATGATTGAAGTGATTTCATAGTAAATAATGCTGTATAAAAATTACAGTTTATCAGATTCTCCGACCCATAAAATTTTACAATATAAATTGATTTTACGGTAAAAAGTACCGGCACCGAAAGTGTCTGTATTTTTTCCGGAATTTTTCACTAAGTAGAAATAGTGATAAATTAAATTGTAATTATCATTACTTTTCGCATGCAGTACTTTTAGTGCTGCATAACATAAACGGTTATTAGATATATATATGTGTTTTATTTATTATAACCTAAACAATATTATTTGTTTATATATTACCCATCATAACTTCTTTTCTGTTGATTTATTGTTTTAAATCCTATAATTCTAATTTCTTTTTAAATTCTTAAATCAAAACTTTGAGGGTAAACTTCTTTCCTTTGAAATGCCTTTGAAAAAATAATTTATGTTCACTTTTTCAATTTAAAAAGCTTAACCAATTTTTCGATTATTATTGTTTATTTTATTTAGTATATTTGCATTTGTAGCAAAAAATTTTATCTCAATAGTTACCCATTAATTAAACACGCCTTTTTTATTAAGATTTGATTTTAATTTTCGCTAACAGATTATATCGATAATATTTCCAATATGATAATAATTTAGCATCCAGAGAAAAAGCATAATAAGAGTTGTGTGGTAATGTGGTAATTTATTAAAAGATATTACTCTATAAGCTCCTATACTTAAATCGATTTAAATGTATATGATGCACTATTATGATCCATTGAGAATCAATTAATTTTGACATGTTAACTAAAAAATTCTTGGTGAAATATGTTTTTTTTTGTTTTTTTTTTAATTTCTCGTTTAAGAAATGATAACTTGATATTACTTTCAAGTCATGATGACAGATTATAAAAATTGGCTGGATTCTTCTAAATTTTCTAAGAAAGATTCCTTTATTACCAATTCAAGGAACTAATTTTCTTGAAAAGATATCCTGTTTTCATTTTACTTCTGAGAAAAAGAACGAAATAAGACATCTTTCCCAACAACGTGTTCTCTGTATCCAAATACACGTTGGTGAAATTCGACACCACACTTCGAAATAAGTGACAGACCCCTTCCCAGAAGTGCCATGATTACGCGGGGGCTAAAAAAGGGACTCTCGAATTGAAAAGAAGCTGAAGATGGGGGAGAATGGAAACTTGTGGGGTGTCTTTTCCAAGCATTGAAATGATACTACGGTTTTCATGGTCCAAAAGAACTTCTTTTCACTAATCTTTTGTGTGGTATTCTGCATTAGCTCCTTATTCATTTTTTTGCCCATAGACTTTCGTGAGTAACTTAGCCATAATCTTTATTTTATGTCACCATGAATACATTGGTTTTGGTTTAATCTCTCTCGGCCTCTTTGAAGATTAAAAAAGCGGCTATTAGATGGCCTATTTAAAATATAAATGGACTCGAAATGTTCTGCAAAAAGATGGGCATGAGTTCTAGCCTCAAAGAAATAAAGTTATTTTTGTTTCTTTGAGAATATTTTTCTTTTTTACGAGCTAGGTTTATTGAAAAGGACGTTTATCGTTCTATTGATTTAACAAGCATAGTTATATAAAGAATACCAACGATCATGAAATGCAAATGTTTAAATTAATTGAAGTTACTTATAAATAGTCACATTTGCAATGGTTAAAATCGATAAATATTTTCTTTCAGTTATGACCTAAACAAAGATTATGTTAGCCTAACTTATTCTTCATATAATGTTTCATTTTATAAATATTGTAGATAGCGAATACACTTTTTGGTAACAAATTATACATCAGCAAGAGATTATAAATAGTGCATCATTTGAATTAGCCCCCCTTTTAAGCCTTTTCTTTATTCAACTGAATTTCCGAACGTAGGAGAGAAGAATTACGTTGAAAAATTTTATTACCTTTAATATTACAATTATCCACTAAAAAGTTCCGTCAACCTCAACATTGTTCCTAAATTTATTTTTATTCCATTATCTATAAAACGCTTACATATAAAATTTAGCAAAATTGAAGGTAATACGAAGATGGGAGAGAGGAGAATCGTTTAAATAGATAAGGATGTATTTTATTTAACTTAACTAAATATCTAAATGCAAACTATATTAGTAAAATTCTGACTTCAATAAATGTTTACCGTCATGTAACTTGAAATCTTGAATACTTTTATTCTTTCATAATTTACTTTTATAGCAATGTTACACAAGCTTAAAAACACTTTTTAAAGTTTAACAACATTTTTAAAATATGGTTAATGATAAAATAGGTAAAAATATTTCTAATTATTATACATATTAAATAAAGTCTCATGAGCAAATATTGTAGTTACACTTAGCGCTGTATAAAATAGAATTTTATGAGGTTTTAATGATATTTCTTAGTTTCTTTTCATATTATTTTAATTGAATAGCTTTTGTATTTTGTTTGATGAATAGCTAAACTATAATTAGGGAGAAAGTACACGATGAGGACTTTTTACATCATTATAAACCATTTGAGTAATGTAAAAAAAAAAAAAAAAAAATATAACACCAGTATTTCGAGTTTTTAATAACATGGGGCCCCGTTTGCCTTATCAGAAATCAAGCTTTTATTTAAAGCTAGAAAAAAAAAAAAAAGAAAAAAAAAGAAACGCTTAAATATTTAAAAGTCGATGCTTGAAATACTGTCACTATAATATTCACGTGTAATCTTAAACCATTTTAAGTAATAAGCTAATTTTCTTTCTTTAAAAAATAATAAATAGTCATAAATAATTTTTATTAAACTGACTTTACGTATTTCTTGTTTTTAATTGCAAGCTATTTTAATTACATGATTACTTGCAAACTCTTACGCCATTAGCAACTTCTTGTTTATCTCTATAGTGCTATTGCTTGTTTATCTCTATATTTCCCCCGTCATTTGAAAGAAGATTAATGACGAAATTTATATTTGCGTCAAAAGCACTTATAAAATTGTGCAGCATCAGCATGCAAGTGTTTGAAGATAGAGAGGCACCAGATTCTAGTCTGAAGTCAAAAACTTTTATAACGGGAGAGAAAACGGAAAAAACACAGACCACTTATCTAATTTTTGGAGCCAAATTGATATCCTTTCAGCATCTTCATTTGCGTTATCTCCCAATGCTGTTTTTGCCCCCATTTTGCCCCGATGAACATGCACTTAGGGGTACAACAAGGAAACTAAGTCATTATTTCTTTCTAAATTTTGGAAGCCCTCTTCAATTATACTACGTTAAAAGATTTGTGCTTTTTCAAACAATATTAGCACACCATTCCATCTATTCCTACTGATACTGAACAACATAAATACTGTTACCTCGTAGTAGTTATTAAAATACGGGAAAACGCTGAGTTTATTTTTTAAGAGAATAATTCCGTTCAGCTTCTCCGCTACTTGCAATCTATTATTAAAATTCCAATTTTAAACTTTACTTAGTCAATTGGACGTATCATTACGCCTTTTGTGCAATGAATTATTTTATAGCAATACGTTGTAAGCTGGGCATAGTTATTTTCATTCATATAGAGTAGAAATAATTATTTGAGATAGCGATAAAAATGATACTATTTAAGAAACACGTAAACTCTTTATATGAATTACAAAACTTACTATATGTTGTAAAGTTTACGGAATTCTTAACGATTATAAATAAAAATAAAAAAAATTTAAAAAAAAGATAGAATAAGAATCACGTGATCTCTATACAAGAGTGAAAACAGCTTTACAAACAGTATAGCTGTACAATGATACTCATGATAGGGAAGATAATGGGATTTTTATTTACGTTGCTCATTAGTTTCCTTTTGTCTTAATATTTTAAGTAATTATTAACATTGTTCATTAATTTCCTTTTATTCTAATATTTTAAATTATTATTTACGTTGTTCATGAGTTTCCTTTTGTCCTAATATTTCAAGTAATTATTTACGTTGTTCATTAATTCCCTTTCATCCCGATATTTTAAGTTATTTATAACTTTGTTCATTAGTTTCCTTTTGTCCTAATATTTTAAGTTATTAACGTTGTTCATTAGTTTCTTTTTTTCCCTAATATTTTAAGTTATTTGCGTTGTTCATTAGATCCCTTTTGTCCTAATATTTAAAATTTTTCAAGTATCCTATTTGGTGATAATTTCTAATTAATTTCATACATTTATTAAATCAAACAATTATAATAAACTTTTACAATGAGTTTTTAAGTACCTAAAATTAATTCGATCAAGTGATCGAATCGCTTATATAGAAGCTCAATATCGCTCATATGATAGCTTAGCTCTTATGATATGCTAAGTAGCTTCAAATTACATGTTTTAAATTTGCCTTATACCAGGAAGTGATAACTTTTTTTAAAATTACAAGTAAACAGACGTAAGTTTTCAAATTCAATATCTGTTTTTTGAATTGTGGTTGATATAAGTAACAAACGTGATGATGTTTTCTGATCTCAAAAAATTGCAAGTGCAAGTTTCCTTTTTTAAATTTAAGCACAAATTTGACTAAAAAAATTTGTATAAGTTCTTTTCCATTTTGTCATAAAGAATTTATTTTTGCAATAAACAAACGCATCATTTCAATATTCAACATCTGTTTTCTTGAATTGTTATTGATAAGTAACAGACGTGAGGAGGTTATCTGGTCTCAAGAATTTAAACTTTGATTCGTCGTAAATCATGTATTAAATTATAGTGGAGGTAATTAAAAACCAAAATGCAAAAGCAAAACTTTCTGTTGATGATAATCTTGCCTATGGGTAAACAACACTTCAGTGACTGATAAGTTCTGTCATCCCGGCCTCTTTCACTCTTTATGGT